GCTACTCGAGAGGAGAGATGATGCCTAACAAATCATATGGCATGTTCTACTTTAGAGCTGAAGTCTCATAAATGATTAAACTGGGAAGATGGAGCGCGTATAGAAGTGAACTGAGTGTTCTCTTGGTAACTTTTCTTTTATATTTCTTATTCTGCTAGCATGGGAAGCATGAATCCTCATGGGTTGAAGAATTGTTAATGTTACACAGAGCACGGATCACAGATGTTGAGCACATCACTGGACTCAGCTTCTATCAACAAAGAAAGGAGCCAGTTTCAGACATTTTAAAGTTGAAAACACATTTGCCAACCTTTAGCCAAGAAGACTGATATATTTTTTTATCCCCAAACACCATAAATCTTTTTGAGAGAACCTTATATTTTATATAGTCCTCTATCTACACTATCGCATTGTTCAGAAACTGACGACCAGAGTTAGAATGGAGCCCTTGGTGATGCGGACATCTCAGGGAAACTTGCGTACTCAGCACAGCAGTGGGAGGGTGTTCCTGTTGAATCTTGCACGTATTTGGATGTGTAAGCATCATATACATTGATCAAGTTTGGGGGATAAAGACAGACCACACCTAAAACTGCCTTTCTGCTTCTCTTAAGGGAGAAGTAGCTGTGAACATTGTCTGGATACCAGATATTTGAATCTTACTATATAAACCTTGATGGCATTGAGCAAACAGTAGACTTAGTAGGATTGGGGTAGCCCATGTTATGTGACTATCTTTACGAGAATTTTAAAGCAGTTCTGGATTTCTTTTAAGTTGGAGTTTCATTTCTTTTCATTTTAATCAAAAAAAAAATTAACAGAAGCCAAAATACTTCTGAGATCTTGTTTCAGTCTTTGGTGTATATCCCCTCAAAAGCCAAATTGTTAATCTTGTGTGTGTTTTTTTTTTAAATTTTTTGATTGGATTTCTTTAGATTTAATGGTTCAAACAAGTTCAACTTTGAGGGATGATCTTTGAACATACTTACCTATTACAAAATCTTACTTTGTATTTGTATAAAAAAAAGAGAAATATTCCCATCCTGCTCACTGGTAATTAACATAGGTTTACAATGGCTTTAAATGTGGCCCTTTGACTGTTAAAATTGTTTCTTATCTTTGGCGAAACTTCAGAGCACCAGTCAGTACATGCAAGGTACCATTTTTTACTGAGATGGTAGGAATGTTTCTCTCTGTGCACAAGACTTACCCTACCAGCTGCAGAGCTGTTCTCTGTTAAGCAGTGCATTTTGAAGTTCCATAGATTGAAGAGAACATGTCACCTCACATCTTCTTGGTGGACATGATAAATGACACAGTGATCTTGATTTTTTACTACCTTGACTGTACCTTTTTGTGCCTATCTGAATCTTCAAAGACTGCATTAACTTTTAGGCTACCTAGGTCCAATTTAGGTATAATATCAGTACATACACCAAAGATTTTTTACATGTCCTTCGTATGATCATTCTTTAACAGCCTAAGGGCCAGCTGCAAAGACCTTTGGAAAATCCAATTTGCAACTGAAAATTATTTAATAATTTAGGAAGTTGTTTTTGTTTTTGTTTTTAAGTCCTGCAGTTTCCTGAGGCTCTGTATATGATATTTTTTTCAGCCTGCTTCTCTCTTGTTCAGATTAGGTAATTTCTATTCTTCTGTCTCAAAGTTCAGTGATTCTTTCTTCTGTCTAATCTGTTCTGCTGTTGAGCCCATTTATTCCTGATTTTTATATTTTAGTTATTGTGTGTTTTATTTCTAAAATGTCCATTTGGTTTTTCTTTATATCTTCTATTTGCTGAGAATTTCTGTCTCTGCTGAGACTTTCTACATTTTCATTTGTTTCAAGTGCATTTATACTTGCTCGTTGAAGCATTTTTATAATGGCTGCTGTAAAATCCTTATCAGATAATTCCAACATCTGTCACCTCATTGTTTGCATCTACTGATGGTCTTTTTTCCATTCAGAAGCATTTTCCTGTTTCTCGGTGTGTGAAATGATTTTTTATTGAAACCTGGATATTTTTAGGTATTATGTTATGAAACTATGGGTCTTATTTAAACCTTCTGCTTTAGGCAACTGTCTCTGATACCACCACAGCAGGGGAATTGGGAGTACCGCTTCATTATTACCAGGTGTGGCTGGGAGTCCAGGTTCCCCAGTCAACCTCCCTTGACACTGAGTGACAGGGTCCGCTTGTTACTACTGAGCAAGGTGAGAATTCAGTTTCCCATTAGGCCTCTATTGATTCCTCCCTGGCTGGGATGTGCAGGGCACCTTGTGCTGCACCCTGGGAATCTCCACTAATGCTATGGGACAGGAGTGACCAGGAAGGGCTTCATTACACCAGGTGAGAATGAAATTCCCAGTGGCCTACACAGCCTTCTCCAACACCACTCTGGTGTTGTATTCTTCCAGCACACAAACATACACAATTTAACTCAAAGCATCTTAGCAGAGCTTAATTAAATGGAGAGATGCCTATTCCCTTTTGCTGGACACTAAGAATACAAAAATAGGGGAGCTGGGACACCTCTTTACAGCTTGGTGAGAATGTAAGTCTAGATCCCCACTCAGCATTTGCTGGTATGGGTGGGGCTATGGTTTTTTCCATGGTGTTTGGTTGGAGTAGAACCATTTTTACCCTTGCTTGGCTACCCTTTTCTGGTCCTTTGGCAGGAGAGAGAGCGGGACTCTTTTAGGGTTTTTTCCCCCTGTATTTGTTGACATTTCCAGGTTGCTGACTTTTTCAGCTCCAAGTTGGAAATATATGAGCTGAAAAGAAAACGCAAGGAACTCATCACAGTGTTGTTCCTTGGGCCCCAATGTTCCCAGCCTGTCTGTTTTCTCTGTACTGTTCAGAGTCTTGCTGTGTTTTAATATAATATCCAGGATTTTTATATGCATTTAGCAGAAGGATATCTACTCTGTCTTTGTAGAAATGTCTCACTGATTTTTATATATTCTTCCAGCACACAAACATACACAATTTAACTCAAAGCATCTTAGCAGAGCTTAATTAAATGGATAGATAGATGCCTGTTCCCTTTGCTGGACACCAAGAATACAAAAAAGAACTAGTGACAATTTTCTCTGTCTTAGGGAGAAGAGGCAGCAGAAGTGTAAATGATCCCTAAAGAGTGATAGATGTTATCATGAAGCCACAGGATGGGTGCCACGCAGCACAAAAGAGACTCTAGATGCTTCTTGGTAGCAGAGGCAGTGGCTTCCCAGCCTTGGGGCTAAGGCTTGTAGGGTGAATTGGAACTTTTCAGATGAGCAAGGCAAAGAAGGGACCTTCTAACTTTCCTTGGATGGAACGTTTTTGACATTTTCCCATTTACAGCTACTTATATTTTCTACAAGTGTCACTGTGACCAACTTATGTACAAATATACTTTTTCTTGCTTTGTTATAATAATCTGCTCTTAAAGAAAATGTCACTCTCTACATTCTATGCTGACTCTTAAGGAAAGAGCACCCACATCTGCTCCTACTTAGCTTTTCTTCTGTGGTTCTTACACAGTATTACTTTTTTCTTTTGTTTTCTTGGAAGAGACTCCTCCTTTCTTTTCTTTTCTTGAAAGAGTTTTAAACTGATAAAATGGCAAAAGTGACTGATCTCTACTCCCTAGTTTGAATGGTAAATTCCAATTTGAATGGTAAATTTAAATGGTAAATTCCCGTGAACATATATGGAAATGTCTTTATCCTACTTTCTCCAATAAAGGCTGTTCTTAGCTTTTCAAATGCAAAGTGAAACCTTATCCTGATTTCTACTGCCATGCCTCAAGTCAGTACTTCTTTTTTTTTTTTTTAAAGAAATGGAGTCTCACTCTATAGCCCAGGCTGGAGTGCAGTGGCACGATCTTGACTCACCGCAACCTCCACCTCCCAGGTTCTAGCAATTCTCCTGCCTCAGCCTCCTGAGTAGCTGGGATTACAGGCGCACACCGCCATGTCCGGCCAAGTTTTTGTATTTTAGTAGAGACGGGGTTTCACTGTGTTGCCCAGGCTAGTCTCGAACTCCTGAGCTCAGACAATCCCCCCACCTTGGCCTCCCAAAGTGCTAGGATTACAGGCGTGAGCCACTGTGTACTTCTTAAGTGAGATAAGTAACTTCCATAGAAAATTTCCATCAGTTTATTTATGAAAGAACAGAGAACCTGGCAGAACTTAAAAATGTTTCCAAGAATCAGAGAAAAGAGGACAAACCTTAGAGAGAAGAAGGCAAATGCTCATGTTCCAGCAAGGGAAGTAGCTGCGTAGAGTACAAGGACTGTTAGGCCTGTTGGCCGTTCCTATTTAAGGAGACAAGATGGACATGGAACAGGGACCATCCCCTCCTCTAGGAGAAGTTGTTACCCCCTTAACTTTTCCTCTGTCATTACCCACAGTCACTTTCCTTCTTTGTACTGTGGTAGGTGTTTACCCATCATAGGAATGGGCCTTTGAACTTTGAAACTGAATGTGGTGATTACACTTCATGCT